CGCCTGGCCTCGGTGTCCCCGCGCCCGGCCCAACCAGGGGCCCGCCCTCCACTCTTCCTGGGTTTTGGCCCCGCCTGCGTTTCCAAGCTGGCCCTTGATAATAGCGAGTATCCCTGGAGTGATTTCAACCCGCCAGGCTGAGAGCTCTGCGTATTCAGGCATTGAAGTTGGGTGAGTTTATGGGTTTGTCTGTCTGTTAAGGGAGGAAGCCTGGTGTCATCCAAAGGAAAACCCCTCACTTTCCCCCAGAACCCGGCCCCTGCGCCGCGAGCTTGGTAGGCATTTTCTCTTGCTGCCCTGACGGCTGTCAGGAGAGTCCTTTGCAAACTATGTACCAGCCTCCCTTTAATTTCTCTGGTTCTGCTCTTGCTCATTCCCCAGCCCGTTCATCGTCTGCACTGAGTGATTTTATTTTTCTCACTTCCAAGTAGCAGTGGTCTTTTTAAAGTGCACGTCCTTACTTGGGAGGCTGTGGTGGGAGGATTGCTGGGACCCAGGAGTTGGAGGCTGCAGTGAGCTATGATCGTGCCACGGCACTCCAGCCTGGGCTACGGCGAGAGACCCCATGTCTAAAATGTGCATGGAAGACGCCGGTTGAGCACCTATTTTGTATCCGGATCTCCGATACACACTGTGTCGGTGTGTATCAGAGTCATCACGTTAAACTTCCATAGCCAACTTTGTCAAGTTTTTTGTATAGCCAATTACTACCCATTATTAAAAACCCAGGTATGGCTAGGTGAGGTGGCTCAGGCATGTAATCCCAGTACTTCGGGAGGCTGAGGCGGGCGGATCGCTTGAGGCCAGGAGTTTGAGACCAGCCTGGGCAACATAGTGAGACCCGGTCTCTACAAAAACTAAAAGTTCAAGGAGATATTACCTCCCGCCAGGAAGCCTTCCTTAACGTCTGCCACCCCTCACCCTTTTACTCCCTTTAAGGTCATTGGTACATTGACCTTTATTTGTGTGTTTATCTGTCCATTTCCCCACAAGAGGGAAGTTCCTTCTCTTTCTATGTCTGAGGGCTTCATATATAGTTGGGTTTCCGTATAAATAGTTCAATTTATTCATGGTTTTCCTCGTCCACCTTTAATTCTCCGAGATTTTGGTGAAACCTGAGAACAGGCACACCTTTCTCTTCTCCCCATTTTTGACCCCCCGCCCCTAGCAGGCTAGGCTGAAGGGCCGTCCTCTGTCACCTGGAACTCTGTACCAGCCTCCCTTCTCTCTCTGCTGCTCTTGCTCATTCCCCAATCTGTTCATTGGCACCAAGTGATTTTATTTTTCTCTCTTCTGAGTTACAGAGTGATCTTAAAGTGCACAGCTTTATTTGGGAGGCTGTGGTGGGAGGATCGCTGGATCCCAGGAGTTGAGGCCGCAGTGAACTGTGATCATACCATGGCACTCCAGCCTGGGCAACAGAGCGAGACCCCATCTGTAAAAAATATATAAAATGTGCATCTTATGCTAGCACCCCTAGTAATGCTTCAGTGGTTCCATTCTTGCTTTTAGGATAAATACCGAAGAAGGCCTTCCTTCCTGCCTCACTTGGCTGGCTCTTTCCCAGGATGCCCACCGTCTTTCCAGTGAAGTCACTCTGCTCTTCCTGCAGCCTGGCATTCTTCTTCCTCTCTTTTCTCCTCCCTCTTGCTGAGTTAACTCCTAGCGCAGCTCAAAAGTTGCTTCCTTAGGTTCACCACTTGAGATTCCCAATCTAGATCAAGTCCCCTTCACAGAACTTTCCACGATTGTATTAGATGGACTCTTAAGACATTTCCTATATTTGACTTCTGTTTTGTTTTTTTTTTTTAGACAGAGTCTTGCTGTGTCACCCAGGTTGGAGTGCAGTGGTGCAATCTTGGCTCACTGCAACCTCTGCTTCCCAGGTTCAAGCAATTCTGCCTCAGCCTTCTGAGTAGCTGATTGCAAGTGTACACCACCACACCCAGCTAATTTTTGTATTTTTGTAGAGACTGGGTTTCACCATGTTGGCCAGGCTGGTCTTGAACTCCTGACTTCAAGTGGTCCTCCCACCTCGACCTCCCAAAGTGCTGGGATTACAGATGTGAGCCACTGCATCTGGTCTCCTGTATTTGGCTAATTAACCTACAAAAATGGCAATTTGATATGGTTAAACCTAATAATTAAGTGACTAATCCTGAATTGAGCGATTCATGTCTGTTTCCAGATATAAGACAGGGTCTGAGGGCAGGGACCATGGATCTTGTTCTCTGCATCGCCAGGTCCTAGCACAGCCTGTTGTAGACCAATTGGTTGAATAAATGAGAAAATGGAGTGGTCTGTTCAGGAATTCTAGTTATTTTCTAAGACTTTAATTCATTCCTTCTGTTACATCACAGTCTCTTTACACTCCCAGTATGTCATTTTTTTTTTTTTTTTTGAGACCCAGTGTTGCTCTGTTGCCCAGGCTAGAGTACAGTGGTGTGATCTTGACTCACTGCAGCCTCCGCCTCTGGGGTTCAAGCAATTCTTTCGCCTCAGCCTCCTGAGTAGTCGGGATTACAGGTGTGTGCCACCATGCCCGGCTAATTTTTGTATTTTTAGTGAGGACAGGATTTTACCATGTTGCCCAGGCTGGTCTCGAACTCCTGGGCTCAAGTGATCCACCCACCTCAGCCTTCCAAAGTGCTGGGATTACAGGCGTGAGCCGCCGTCATCATTTGCTGAACAACATCAACAATTACAACAGCAGTTACTTTTTTTGCTTTTTCGTGACTTCACATTTGGACTTGACCCTTTGAGAAGTTGGCTCAGTTCTGTGACAAAGCAGTTCTCTGCATTTGGCCCTTGTTCCTACTGACAGCAAGCACCTCTTAAGGTATCAGTGGACCTTACAATAAGCAGATTCGTTCTCTGCCTGGCATGCTTAGGGAATAACCTTCTTGGAATGAAGGAGAGGCTGGGTACGGTGGCTCACGCCTGTAATCCCGGCACTTTGGGAGGCTGAGGCAAGAGGATCGCTTGAGCCCAGGAGTTCAAGACCAACCTGGGCAACATGGTGAAACCCTGTTCTTACTAAAAATACAAACAATTAGCTGGGCATGATGGCCTATCGTCCCAGCTACTTGGGAGGCTGAGATGGGAGATTCACCTGAGCCTGGGATTTTGAGGCCACAATGAGTGGTGATCACGCCACTGCACTCCAGCCTGGGTGACAGAGGGTAGAGCCTATCTCACACACACACACACACACACACACACACACACACACACACACACACACACACAATAGAGCGTTTCCTTTGTTCTGTCTCCTCCACACATTTGTTTGCAGACCTCGAAGGTGCTCTGTGGGCAAGCTCAGAACAGTGGCATTCTAATCTGGTGTGGATAGTTGGGGGTCCTTAGTCATTTAGAGAGTGACCTTGTGCAAGACTTTTATCCCTCTTGTCCCTTTGCTTATTTCGTGAGTGTAGCAGACTGATAAACTCTGCCATTTTTACCCCTTTGGAACACAGCAGGAGACAAAAGGATTTCTACAAAGCTTTGGAACTTCAAAGTTGAAATTTAAAAAATTTCTTTAAACTAGTTTTCTTTTTCTTTATGCAGTCTTAGTAACCCAGAAAGGGAAAGGATCCTAACTTGTCACACCCACCACGCTGTACCCCCCAGCAGCAGGTGTCTCTCCTGGGATTGTCTGTCCCTTGGAAGAACCTTTAACTGGAGACTAAGTAGGCCAGGTGCAGTGGCTCACGCCTGTAATCCCAGCATTTTGGGAGGCCAAGGTGGGCAGATTGCTTGAGGCCAAGAGTTCAAGACCAGCGCGGGCAACAAAGAGAGACCCCCGCGTCTCTACAAAAAATAAAAATGTAGCTGGGTGTGGTGGCGTGCGCCTCTAGTCCCAGCTACTCAAGAGGCTGAGGTGGCAGGATTGCTTGAGCCCAGGAGGTCGAGGCTGCAGTGAGCTATGATTGTGCCACTTCACTCCAGCCTGGGAGGCAGAACAAGACGCTGTCTCACTTAAACAAAGGAAAGTAGTAATAGAACTCATATATTTGGTAAAGAGAAAAGCACCCAAAGTAACTCACATGCAAGTAAAAAACAATATGGTGCTGTGTGTGCTACCTTCCAGCCTTATGTCCCACATCTTTTTTTTTTTTTTTTTGAGACAGGATCTCTGTTGCCCAGGCTGGAGTGTGGTGGCGTGATCTCAGTTTACTGCAGCCTCTGCCTCCTGGACTCAAGGGATCCTCCCACCTTAGCCTCCCGAGTAAACTGGGATTACCGGCACACGCCACCACGCCCAGCTACTTTTTGTATTTTTTTTTTGTAGAGATGGGGTTTCACCATGTTGACCTGGATGGTCTCAAACTCCTGACCTCAAGCGATCTGCCCACCTTGGCCTCCCAAAATGTTGGGATTACAGGTGTTAGCCACTGCGCCTGGCCTGTATCTTTTTTTAGAGATGAGGTCTCGCTAAATGGCCCAGACTGTTCTCAAACTCCTAGGCTTGAGCGATCCTCCTGCCTCAGCCTCCCACCTGGGATTACAGGTGTGAGCTACCATACCCCACCAAGAAGAAGTTCAGAAGGATTCCAGATTGAAGGAATGATCTGCTGAGTAGTAGAAAAGCACAAGTGATGAGCAGAAAACACATTGCATTGTTTTATCGGTTCTAAGAAGTGTCTTTCTTTTAGGGAGAAGAAGTGGGTGACTGTGGGTGACACGTCCCTGAGGATATTTAAGTGGGTTCCTGTGACAGACAGCAAGGAGGTAAGTGGATGAAAATCAAAAGGTACCATTTTGTTTATTTCTTTATTTGATTGCCTCTTTTTTTATGAGATGGAGTCTTGCTCTGTCGCCCAGGCTGGGGTACAGTGAGTGGCGTGATCTTGGCTCGCTGCAACCTCTGCCTCCCAGGTTCAAGCAATTCTCTGCCTCAGCCTCCTGAGTACCTGGGGTTACAGGCATCTGCCACCACACCCAGCTGATTTTTGTATTTTTAGTAGACACGGGGTTTTACCATGTTGGTCAGGCTGGTCTGGAACTCCTGACTTTGTGATCCACCTGCCTCAGCCTCCCAAAGTGCTAGGATTACAGGTGTGAGCCACTGCACCTGGCCTAATTGCCTCTTAATTAAAGGAATTTATTTTCCCAGAATTGAGTGGAAAATACTTCAAGGCACCCCTGTTACTGGTCCATGCAAGGCCTCTCTTTATTATTTTCCTTCTTTATTCCTTTCCCTTAACTTAAGCCTCTTTTCTAGGGCTTGACAAACTACAACCCTGGCGTATTCCTTATGTTTTTCAGTATATTTCTATTGGAACATAACTGGCTGGGTGTGGTGGCTCATGCCTGTAATCCCAGCACTTTGGGAGGCCGACTTAAGGTCGGGAGTTTGAGGCCAGCTTGGCCAACATAGTGCAACCCCCATCTCTACTAAAAATACAAAAAAATTAGCCGGGCTTGCTGGTGGGCACCTGTAATCCCAGCTACTTAGGAGGCTGAGGCAAGGAGAATCGCTTGAACCTATAAGGCAGAGGTTGCAGTGAGCTGAGATCTCGCCACTGCACTTCAGCCTAGGGCAACAGTGTGAGACTCATCTCAAAACAAACAAAAAACCAAACACATAACTATACCCACTGATTTACTTATTGTCTGTGGTGCTTTTGAATTACGATGACAGATTGAGTGGTTGCCATAAGGCCTAATGGCCCATAAAACCTAAAATATTTATCATCTGGCCCTTTAAGAAAAAGTTTGCTGAGACTTGCTCTTATGCGATTAGCCCCCTACTATAGTGTATCATGTGTATATACATCTTTCTAATTCTGATGTAGGCCTTTGTGATTCATCTTTGTTTGGATACCTGCATATTCTTTAAAAATACATAGCGTTTTTTCATATGTGTATTTTTGTTTTTAAACAAAACTTACATATGTACAGCATTTTGCCAGAAGCTCTTTGTATTCTCTTTGGTTCAACTGTGGTTTTTTTCTTTGGGTTTTTTTTTTTTTTTTTTTTTGAGATGGACTCTCGCTCTGTCACCCAGGCTGGAGTGCAATGGTGCAAGCTCAGCTCACTGCAACCTCCACCTCCCAGGTTCAAGCGATT